ATTGTGCATCTCTGTTTCCTAAAACCTGTCAAGTAGTTGGAGAATACACCAGTTCTGTTGCACCACAATTGAAGTCGCGCATCAATCATTTTTTCCATTATCTTACATAAACAGCTTGTCAGACTGATTGGACGGAAGGATTCAAGGTTCAAGGGCGTCTTAGCCGGTTTTAAGATCAGAATGATGTGAGCAGACTTCCAAGACTCGGGTACAATTTCTTGCGTCCATAGATTATTGTAAATATCTAAGAGAATAGTTGTTCCTATGGGCCCAAGGTTCTTTAGCATATTGTACGTAATGCCGTCCGGTCCAGAGGCCGATTTTTGACGACATGATGCTATAGCACAACGCAGCTCCCTTAACGTAAATACAGGGTCTAGTTGAGGATGCTGGGCCCAAAATCTAGCATTAATTTTCTGGTTGGCTAACGCGACAGAATTATCAAATAATGCACATTGTGATGCGGCGGGCCTACTGATAAGTTGACAAAATTCATCTGCTACCACAGCTTCCGGTTTGCCCAAGGCTACAGCAAGAGCACGAAATGGGAAGCTCTGTGAAACAGGGCCACTAAGTGCTCGAATTACAAGCCAAATTCTTGGAACAGGTGTGTGGGGAGAGAGCGTGCCACAGAAATCACGCCAGCGTCGTTTACCTAAATTTTCTAGCCGTCTGCGCATTACACTTTGGATTTTCTGTGCATTTTTGTATGCTTCTAAACTTCCGCTGCGTCGATATGCCCTTTCTGAACGTCGTCTGATGGCTCTTAGATGTTCATACTCTCCATCGACTGCAGCATAGTCTTTTGGAATTGGGACTTTCTTTGTACATTTATTCGCATTATCTTGCAGAAATTCAGTAAAGCTTTCAACTGTCGTGAAGTCACTATTTTGGTTTGTTAGGTGGTGCCGAAAAGCTTTCCAGTTCGTCAGTTTGCTGTAGCGTATGGTGTCGTCTTTTCGCAAGTAGGGGTGATTTATTAGAATGGGAAATTGGTCACTCCCACGTGTTTCTACATCCGTTGTCCATACCACATCATTCACTAGATCTTGGGAACACAAGGTTACATCGATGCAACAAGAGTAATTATGCCCTCGGAGAAAAGTTGGGGAGCCGTTATTTAAAATTGTCAAATTGCATTTGTCTGTAGCACACTCAACAATGTTCCCACGTGCATCACATGGATCACTACCCCAGATTATATTGTGCGCATTAAAGTCTCCGCATATAAACGTATATGAATGAGAAATGTTGAAGATATTTGTTAGCTCTTCTACCGAAATGCGGCTTGAAGGTTGTAGGTAAAAACTGATCACTGTAACGCACTGCTCACCAAAGGATACTTTGCAAGCGACGAATTCGGGGAAGTCCGAATCACTTGAGTGAACTTGATGAGAAGGTAGGTCCTTTCTGACGCACAAATGTACTCCGCTAGGACCACTTCGACGAGATGACTTATATTATCACGTAGTTAAAGAGGTGAAAATCATCATTCATTCCTGCCTCTTGGATGCAAAGTATTGGAAAATTATACTGCAGAAGGAGTTTACGGAAGTCAGCACACTTCCTTCGAAGACTATTGGCATTCCACTGGTATATGGAGACATCTTTGTAGCGCTTATTCATATGTTACTTGTCGCAGGTTTGACCCGGACTGTTGACACAATAGTGCTTCCAGAGGCAACAGGGCTTTTACTTCTGGCAGGTTGTTTGCTTCCGGTAGAGCAGACAGGATTGCCTTAAGTGCTGCGAAAAGCATTGGCAGAATCAACTGCATGACTGGTGCAGAGGCACGGTCTCCATTGAATGGTTGATTTTCTGAGGCCTGTTGAGAATGACGTGACGTTTCGGTGTTGTAGTTGGGGCGAACACTGGCACTGTCGGTTTTGCTACTTTCCGGCAGAGGTCCCGTGGGCGTTCGCAACTTTGACGCGTATGTTGGGTTACTTGAAAATACTTCTCGTGAGTGGTCTCTCGAGTGTGCTCTTGGCGGCTCTCTTGGCGGTTCTCTTGGCGTGTTTGTCGACTGTTGTTGTGGTGGCCGCTGAGGTGGATCACGTACAGGATAAACAATCTCAAGGTTTGGAGATGGTTCATTGGGGCGTGGTTTTCTTCCATGAATGAGCTCATGCCGACGCATTTTTGCAGCAGCTTTACTTTGCGGGCAGCCTGAATATGAGGCAGCGTGATTACCTGCACAGTTTGCACACTTAGGCTGAAGAACATACTTGCACTCCTTATGATGGTGTTCTTCTGAGCAGATCTTACACCGGCGTGTGTTACGGCAACTTTTCGCCATGTGTCCGAATCGCTGGCAGTTATAGCACCGAAGTGCTGGACCAAAATATTCTTCCACTGGGTGACTGGTGAATCCTAAGTAGATTCCTTCTGGAATCGGGCGGTCATCTCGAAAAGTCAAAATCGCTGAGTGAAGTGGACGCGTCGTTACTCCTCCATCTTCCTGGCGGTAGTATTTTATTTGCCGTCGCGCTGATATAACCCCTGCATCTCTCAAGTACTCTAGGAGTTGTTCATCTGAATACTGCAGAGGAACATGTTTTACTTTCCCAACGTTCCGAGTGTATGACTCTGGGATGAAAGGCTTAACTTCCAAGCCACCTACATTTGAAAGCATCAGAAGACGCTTGGCTGAACTTAAGGAAGCAACGCTGACACTAAAGCTTCGATCTCTGGTCGTTCTGAATGACTGCACTTTTTCTTTAGCAGCGGAAACTACTTCAGCTGACACTCGATTGGGGTTCACTTTCCAGAAGCTAGCACCTTCAGCTGTTGGACGAAAGACGACTGGGATACCCTCTGCTCGTTTCTTTTTATAAGTAACCAACGTAAATGGTTCATCTTCGCCCATGTCTTCTTCATCACTTAGGTAATAAGTTGACGTTTTATCGTCGAGAGGATTCTCTTCTAAGCGAGGCTTCTTGCTCTCAGCTTCATCGTCTTCCAATGCTGCTGTGCTCGCTGGAGCCATTTCGCGGTTGTGAATTTGCAAACGTGCCGGCTTTATGATGCTTGGACGCACCTGTAAGCCCCCAGGCTTTTCATTGTGTCCTGCAGTATCACTCATGTGGTTTAACGCACTTGGATGAGCATAAGGCTCGTGGCGATGGCTACCAACCACCGTAGTGGTCGCGTACTAGCCAAGTCTTTGATAACGGAACCTCGTACCTGTAGGGCGCCGAGCCCTCGAAGTCTTCACCCGGCGTCCTGTTGGCACACCGCGAAGAAATGGATGTCAGCGTAATCCTCTCTGTTTAAAAACGGTCTACCAAGTCATATACTTTGCAATCGTCTTCTTCACGTTTCATCGTCAACGCTCCTTTAATGACAATAGTTATAGTGCTAGAACAAAAACGACGACACAGAGTCTTTTGTTCTCGCGCTATAACTATCGTCATGCCATACCAACTAGCCCAAGCTGCCACACTTCTAAGCTGCTTTAATATTCGCGTACCGTCAAACACTTTGCACTTATATCGCTACACCTAACTTTGAGGGGCACACGGGAGGACGCTGACTGCAGACAATAAGCTTAAACATACTTGACCTTACTATAGCAGTTCTATTTCTGTAAAGATAAGTGTAGCGCAAGGCCAAACTTTAGTCCTCATTTTTATAAGAAATGTGTTCTTTGAATAATTAAGTATACGAACAGCGTTAATGACAAGGACTGAGCAAGGTAACAACACGCGGCGCTGACTCTCCAGAAGTCATCACTTTGTTGAAAGGCAACACAGTGCTGACTTGTTTTTGTGTGTTGCGCTATCCGTATATGCCGTACGAATTTGCCCAAGTTTCCACACTTCGTGTTCTTTGCCTTAATAAGTTTCCGTGCATTAGATGGCCCCATGCGCTGACACCTCAGCTTGTCCCGCAGTAACGCAAAAAGTACTGTGCTTATATATGGTTATCAACGTAACCTTTTGAATGTCTATTAGAAATTACTTCCACGCCTTCTGCCGGTGCTTGGGAGGGCGTGACTCATACTTGCGAATACTATGTATGATAAGATGGCAGATAACCTCTTCTTTGTGATAGTGCACAGGTCTGTTATTATCTTGGCCCACAAGTTCAAATAAAATAACCAATTATCTTGTAGCATACAAATGCGAGCGGCTGAAGTAATATTGACCTAAATGTCCAGCACTATTGCTGTATAAATGACTCTGCTATATCGCAGCATGCTGATATTCGTGAGTAATATTTGGGCGATAACGCTCACCCCGTGAAATGCTGACATTTGCCTTTGTTCTCGTGGTGCTTTTTGTGCGCCTGTACATAAGTAACTGTATGCTCGGTCACCAGAAATTTGGTGAAGAAAGAATGCTCCGGCACCTCTGCATGTATGTTCGTGCATTTGAGTCTAAATGTGCGTGCGTGTATATGCACTAAACAAGAAGAACTAGGAGAAAGGACGTCACGACACTCTCACCCCCCCCCCCCTTCCGCAATTACCTCACTGGCTAAGCTGTAGGTTTCCAGGATTTGATAAGTTGTCACGTAAATAAGTCAGAATGAATAATTAATTGCCCTGCGCTGCACAGTTGTCGAAATGACTTCTGTTATCAGTGAAATACCAAATTGTCAGTGGGGTGTGGGATGAACCGATATATCGAGCTTATCCTTTTGTCAACAAATAATCAACAATCAAGAGAGGGCACTTAATACGGTAACAAGCATTCAGAGATGGCATCGTTCGTTATCATTGGTCACTGCATGGTCATCGATGTTGCTGACTGCAGCGAAAGCGCGGGCATTGTCCTTGACAGAGAGCGATGCTCGAATTTGGCAATAAAAAAGAAAAAAAAGAAACGGCTGCATCTGGATTGTTGAGTGATAAGCGTTATAATCTATATCCCCGTGAACACGATAGTAATTAGTTCGATAAAACATTTGCACGCTGCTTCCGGCAATTGTAATGCCAGATAGCGCCATCCATGGACGGCCCTGCCTCCCCCCCCTCCATACCCCGCATAGGGCGTGCGTCTGAGTGGAATTAGTTGCATTGCGGACGAAATGCCGAGGATGTCGAACGGAGTGGCATCTTCTCGCGTCGCATGGCCTCGGATCTACCTGTTCGGTGACACCCTGACGCAGGTGAGAAAGAGCGCGTAACCGTCTTCTCGAATCACGAGTTATACGCTCTCAAACTTCCCTTTTGTATAGAGAAATGAAAGTTGGTCGAGTTGCGGATACTTCGCATTAGACACCGTGAACGAAAGGAATACGGGCTGGATTTCAACTCTTGTACAGAGAGTAGATAGAGAGAGAGAGAGCGAAGGGAGGAAAATGTTTAGTGGGCCAGCGAGTTCGGGCCGGGTTCTGGATCCTGGGCCACCACACGATCGTCCCTTCGGGGTTCGTCCGGACCATGCAGGGCCAGGGCACTGGCGCACCAGTTCACACAATGCAGTATAGAGTGAAATATTGAGTAAAGTATTCATGGGCTGGTCTCGCTAAGGTGTGATGCCACAATCAGTGGCGTAGCCAGGGGATGCCCTATTTTCTTTGCAACAGGCTCGAAGTTAAAAAGAAACAACATAAAAGAGCATGATTCAACTTTGTTGTTGAGTTGTGAGTGGAGTAGTAGTAGTAAACAACTTTATTAAGGCAGCTGACGGTTTCCTAAGTGGCGAGGGCTGTCAGGCCATGCCTGGTCGCCACCTCGTCAGCGCGTTTGATGGCCCGGAGCTGGGTGTCCAGGCTTGTGGTCGTGAGGATTCTCTCCCAGGCCTCACTTGAAGGTGACTGTCCTAGGAGGTTTGGTGGGGGAGGGTCCTTGCTGCATCCCCAGATGATGTGATCCAAGGTTGCGGTCTGGGTCTTGCAAAGGGTGCACGTAGATGTGAATAAGGCAGGGTATATGTGCCTGTATATGTACGGGGAAGGGAATGAGTTCGTTTGAAGCCGCCGCCAAGTGATTTGTTGAGCTTTGTTTAGTTCCGGGTGCGGGGGTGGTCTGGTTTGCCTTGATAGCTTGTAGTACTGTGTGATGTCGTGAAAGGTGATGAGTGCTTCAGTTGCTTCGATATCGTGGTCCGAAGTCTGGCCCACCGCTCGGCATACGAGTCCTCGAGCTTGTCTGTGGGCGGCTTCGTTGCCCGGGTTTCCTGCGTGCGCTGGGACCCAGATGAGTTGGATTAAACGAGGATCGTCATCGTCGGTGCTGCTGGCAGTAGTGTCGCCTGAGGCGTTGCGTGCCGCTCGGGGCAGAGGACGGAGGATGCGCGCCGTGGTTGGGGAAACAGTGCCCCGGGCAAATCGGATGATAGCAGATTTGGAGTCACTGATAATTGTTTCAAAACCGGCCATTGCGGCGAGTGCTATGGCAGCTTCTTCGGCCTCGGTTGGGTCTTGTGTGCGTATGGAGCCGGCGCACCTCGTGGTAGGCTCTATATCGACTGGGGTACGTTTCGACGAGACGTTGATTGCAAAGGCTTGTTTGGGGGTTGGGTAGCTTGCCGCGTCGACGTGAGCCACTTTTGTGTTCGTACCATAGGTATTGTGAAGGTTTCTGGCGCGGGCTGATCGTCTACCGTCATGAATGCCGGCCAGCATGTTTTTCGGCAGCGGCTGCACAATGAAGCGCTGTCTGAGGAGAGGCGGTAGCGAGATCAAGTCTTGTCCGCTTGGTGACGAGGGAATTCCGATACGTTGAAGTATCCATCTTCCGGTTTTACTACCACGCAATCGTTCAATTTGTGCAGTTCGGTGAGCCTCGATAAGTTCATCTATTGTATTGTGAATTCCAAGGCTGAGGAGGTGCATGGTCGATGTGGTGCGGGAGAGGCCCAAAGCGATCTTGTGGACTGTGCGAATAAGTCTGTCTACTTTTTCTTTTTCAGCCTGGAGGAGTCGTAGGTACGGTAAGGCATAAGTTATTCTTGTGGTTACGAAGGCGTTTAACAGCTGGAGAAGTTCCTTTTCTTTCATGCCGTGTTTCCGCGCGGAGATTCTTCCTAACAGACGGGCAGTCTGAGTGACGGTGACCGCAAGCCTCTCTAGTGCGACGGTATTGCCCCTGCCGGCTTGTACGTGAAGGCCGAGTACCCGCATGTGCTGCACTATCGGTATTTCGGATCCGGCCATTCTGAGAGTGATGGTTGGTAGTGGCGGGTGTTTAACCTTACGGTAGTCAGGAGGACGAAGAAGGAGGAGTTCAGATTTCTCCACTGAGCATTCGAGACCTGCACACGCGACGTATCCGGCCACTGTGTCCACAGCACGTTGCAGTGCCTCCTCGATCTGTCCGTCGGAGCCAGTAGTGGTCCATACCGTCACGTCGTCCGCGTATAGGGTGTGTCGGATATTGGGTATGCAGTCTAGTAACTGTGGGAGTTGGCTCATTACAAGGTTGAAGAGGAAAGGTGAAAGAACAGCTCCCTGTGGCGTGCCTTTGTTGGATAGGGCAAGTCTCTTCGTGGCGTTGCTGTCAATCAGGGAAAGTTCCACAGTACGGCCTTGGAGGAAAGAGCACACGTAGTTGTAAATACGTTCCCCAGGGTTTGTTGAAGCCAAGTGCTGGGCGATCGCTTCATGTGTTACATTATCGAACGCCTTGCGTAGGTCTATGCCTAGCATTGCTCGCGTGCCCGCACGTACGGGGTCTTTCAACAAATCGTGGTAGATTTGTACGAGGGCGTCTTGAGTAGATAAGTGGGCGCGAAAACCGAGCATGGTTGGAGGGAAAAGGTCTTGCTCTTCTGCAAGTGTTTCTAGCCGAGCCAAGACCACGTGCTCAAATAGTTTGCCAAGGCATGAAGTTAACGAGATGGGGCGAAGATTTGATAAGTCTGCCTTTTTTCCGGGCTTTGGTATAAACACTATTTTCGCGTGCTTCCATTCGTCTGGTATATTTCCGGCATGCCAGCAGTCATTGAAATATTCAGTAAGGGCAGTTACTGACCTTGCGTCTAGGTTGCGGATTGTTTTGTTCGAGACGCCGTCTGGACCTGGTGCCGAAGTTGTGCGAAGCTTTAGAATGGCTGCATACACTTCGGCTTCTGTGATGTCGGCATCAAGAGTTGGATTTGGTTTACCTTCATAGGGTGGTAGCGGTGTCGCTGGTTGATGGGCTTGGTTGATGTATTTGTCCGCCAGTTCAATTAGTAGATCTTCGTCTGATCCGGGGTGTTGGTGGACAAGTCGCTTAAGTCTGTGCCGTGCGGCTGTTTTCGAGTCGTCGGGATCCAGTAAGTGGCGTAACAGGTGCCACGTCTTCTTGTTGCCTAGCTGTCCGTTGAGTCCGCTGCACAGCTGGCCCCATTGTTGGCGGGCGAGGTAGGTACTGTGTCGCTCAATTTCTTCAGAGAGGGCCTGTATGCGGCGACGCAATTTCTTATTGTAGCGCTGCTTCTGCCATCTGCGCAGCAGGCTGGCGTGTGCGTCCCACATGTGGAGAAGACGAGAGTCTGTGGCAGGCGTTTCCTCTGCTGCTTTACTTTCGCGCGTTGTGCGTCGCACGTGGTCGTTTAGGGAGGCTGTCCATTCCTTGAGGTTTGTTATGCGTTCTGGGGCTTCACTTTCACGGATGTCTCTAAATTTTGGCCACTCCGTGATTTGAGCGAGGGCGTTGTGTACTCTCTTGCCAGCGGACGTCTGTACCTGGATGGCAATGATGTAGTGGTCACTACCAGCGAGTTGACAGGTGTTCTCCCATCTGGCCTGCGCAATATTCTTGCAGTATGTGAGATCGGGTGACGTGTCCCTACACACGCTGTTTCCTATGCGGGTTGGTGACTGCTGCAGGTCATTTAGTAGAGTGAGCCGGAGGTCCTGACCGAGTTGCCATAGCTTCTTGCCTCGTTTGTTCGCCTGCAGGTAGCCCCAGTCAGGGTGCCTGGCGTTGAAATCGCCCAGTATAAGCAGTTGTGCGCCTCGAGAAAGCGATGTGGTTTTCTGGAAGAGCAGGTTGAAGTCGTCGGCGCGTGCCCGGGGTGCGCAATATACGTTGAGGATGAAGACTGATTGGTGCGAGCGTTTTCGCGGAAGAATTTCAACGACCGTGTGTGGAATGTCCGAGAATTCTAAGTCGTGTTGTTTCGCCGTGAGGCTCTTGTGGACGAGCGTGCCTGTACTTGGGGCTTCTTGGTTGTGCGAGTCGGTGAATTGTTGGAAAGCGATGTAACCAGGGAGTGAGACAGAAGCCATTGTTTCTTGTAGTGCGATGACGTCTGGAGGCGTTTGGCAATTGGGCAGTTGTGTTTCTTGTACGAGTAGCTGCAGGTGGGCTTTCTTTTTACGAAAGCCCCTGCAGTTCCACTGCCATATAGTCAAGTGGGTGCTGGCCATGATGCAGCAGCTGGAGCATTACTTGAGGCCGTCGTGGGTTCGCTGTGCTGGGTGGAAGAGTGAGAGGTCACTCGGTTGCGTGTGATAGCTGGTGCTCTGGCCATGCTTTGCTTGATTACTGCAAAACTGGTGTCTGTGGCAGTTCTGAGTGCTTCTAATCCGGCTACGGTGTTGTTTACGGTGGCTTCCATGTTTGAGAACCGTGTCTCTATGTTCGTTAGGCGTGAGTCTACGGTTGCGAAGGCTTCTGTTACGGCGGCACGAACGGCGTTGACGACCGTGGTTTGGACTGTCGTGCGGAGGGCTTCAGCAACGGATGCGTTGACCATTTCAATAATTCGCGCCGTCATGTCCTCTTCGGATTGCAGCGTTTCCGTGGAAGTCGTTGCTTTGCGTTTGGCTGCTGCGGGTGGTTGGGGCTGTTGAGTTGAATTATGCACGGACTGGCTGGCCTTTGCCAGTTTACTTTCTAGGGAGCGGTTCTGCGCAAGGAGCACTTCGATCTGAGCTTGTTGCGTCGCCATTTGGGATTTTAACGCATTGATTGTTTGCGTAAGTTCCTTGACGAGCGGGTCATGCGTTGAGGCGCACGGTTTCGATGGCTGCGGGGGAGATGATGGCAGCGGAGACGCTGCGCTTGGCGCCCATGCTACACTAGGGTTGCTTGGTGGTGCTTTGGATATATCAGCATGTGGGATGCGACTTGATGATCGGGTTCTTGATTTGGACCTAGAGTGGGAGGCTGCTTGACCCTGGCGAGATCGTGACTTCGATCGGCTGTCGCGTTTCGTCGGCGTTTGTGATGT